GAGGGAAGAATAGTGGTTTTGAAACAACACAACAGAAATCCAACAATTTACAAAATTACTAAAAGTTTTGAATAAATGAAAATTATTTTTAAAACTGAAAACCATATTTACAATAGAATTAGATTCATGCTGATGATAATCAGAAAGTTTGGAACACAATTCTCTTATTCATAATAGAACATCAATGAACAAGCTCAAAGATCGGGAACCTGAAAACCCCTGTGGCTTCCAAAAACTGACCAAATAGCAACAACAACAACAACAATCCTAAGAAACACAATTTCTCTGCTATTGAGTGCACATGGAATATGTGAGATGGCTAACAACAACAATAAAAAATAGAGGAAATATAAATAATTCAGCAGGTTGAAATAACTATAAATATGACAATAATTACTTATGTGTGAATACCTGGCTCTATGTAAACAAGAGGATTGGGACTAATTAGTGAATTCTATGATCTAATCACTATGTGTTGTCAGTTAGATTCCTAATTAAACCTTGAATGATTCCTAACCTTGTAGTTTTCCTACATGTGCCTACCAACCCCTTCATCCAAGAAGTTGGGGAATATTGGTTTAAGAAACTTGAACTCACTAGTCTCAGAGCTTCCTTCCAGGTAAACTTCATACTGATAATTCTGAGACAGGGTCCCCGTGCCGCTGACATCCACCAGGTGGCCCGGAAAGCGGCCCTCAGGCACCGAGCAGCGACCCCCCGAGGCCGCCCGGTCCCTCCTGCACAGCCGCACCGCCACGAACAGCAGCACCGAGAACAGGAAGAGCGACGACACCGCGGCCAAGGCCACCACCAGGTAGACGGTGAGCGAGTCGGCCTGGGCCTGGGCCGGGGCCGCTTCCGGCGGCGGCAGGTAGGGCTGCGAGAAGCCGTCCACCAGCAGCACGTGCAGCGTGACGCTGGCAGACAGCGCGGGCTCCGCCGCTGTCCCTCACCAGCACCACCAGCCTGTGCCTGGCCGCGTCGCGCTCGCCAGCGGCTGCGCGTGCGACCTCGCCGTTGTGCGGCACACGCTGAACAGCCCGGGCTCCGTGGCCTGAGCAGCTGGAACGACAGCCAGGCGTTCTGGCCCGAGTCGCCGTCCACCGCCACCACCTTGCTCACCAGGTAGCCGGCCTCTGCCGCCCTGGGCAGCAGCTCGGTGCAGGGCGCCGAGCCGTTCTGCGGCGGTACAGCACGAGAGGGTTCGTTGTCGTCCAGCACCGCCCGCGCACCAGCGCCTCGCTGCGCAGCGCGGGGAGCCTCGGTCTGCGCCCACGCGGAACTCGAACGCCCGCAGGGCTCGAAGTCCAGCGACCTCAGGGCGAACAGCTGCCGTTGTCCGCGGTTGATGAGACCAGCGAGGCGAGCGGCAGGTGCGGTCGCGGGGCGCAGCAGCGAGTAGGTGACCTGGGCGTTGGAGCCGAGTCTCTGTCTGTGGCGCTGACGCTGCCGATGTTGCAGGCGGGGCTGTTGTTCTCGGGACGGAACAGGGTGTAGGAGCTTGAGAGCGGGGGCGTTGTCGTTGACGTCGGAGACCAGCACGGTTATGGTGTGCTCCGTCTTCAGCCTGGGAGTCCCCAAGTCCGTGACGGTGACGGTGATGTTGTACTCGGCTCTCGTTTCTCTGTCCAGCGCTCCTTCTGTTACCAAGGTATAGAAATTCTCTACAGTAGGTTTTAGAAGGAAGGGGAGATGGTCTTCGATGGAACATATCATTTTCCCGTTGTCCCCGGAGTCCGGGTCTGAAATTCTGAAAATAGCAACCACAGTTTCAGGGGAGTTTTCTGGGATATCGCTGATGAGTAAAGACATGGTCAGCTCAGGGGCGTTGTCGTTCACATCCATCACTTCTATGACTACGGTGCATTTTCCTGAAAGACCCCCACCGTCTGAGGCCTCAATTTCCATATGGTAAGATCGAATTTCCTCAAAATCCAACACCTTTTTTAATCTAATTTCTCCTGTGACCGTGTTTATTTCAAAGGCCTGAATGACTTGATTTGAGGATTGGAAAAACGAGTAGGAGAGCTCCCCGTGGGTCCCAGCATCTAAATCTCTCGCAGAGACAGTGATGACAAGGGAACCCACGCGGCTGTTCTCTGGAACCTGCGCTTCATAGAGCCTCTGAGCAAATTCAGGGCTGTTGTCATTGATGTCCAGGATCACGATGAGAACCTGGGAAGTCCCAGTCCTGGGCGGTGACCCACCATCCATGGCGGTGAGGGTCAACCTGATCTCAGGCTGCTCCTCTCGGTCCAGGGCTTTGTCCAGGACCAGCTCTGGGTATTTCCTGCCATCGCTGTGATTGCGGGTGACAAGGTGGAAATGGGGGTTGGTGCTAATGATATAGTTCTGAACTGTGTTGCCACCTGCATCCAAATCTTGAGCTATATTCAAAGGATACGGAGTCCCTGGGTGGCTGCTTTCAGGGATTTTTAGGAGTATTTCACTTTCCAAGAATTCTGGGGCATGGTCATTTACATCTTGGACCTGCAGCTCACCTTGAATAAGCTGCACTGGGTTTTTCAGTAATACCTGGAAATGCAATATACATGGATCCGCGTCACCGCACAACTCCTCCCGGTCCAATCTTTCTTTTAGGAGCAAATCCCCGCTCTTCTGTTCGAGTTGCAAATGCCGCCTGTTCCCTTTCGAAAGAATCCGGGCTCCCCGCGCAGCCAGCTCCCCTACACTCAGCCCCAGATCTTTTGCTAGGTTGGCCACAAAAGAGCCGCTCTCTCTCTCCTCTAGAAGGGAATACTTGAGGGTAGCACCGCCCGCCTCCCACAGTAGAAATAGGAAAATAATGGCGGCCACTTGCCTTTTCGCCAGCGCTTTGGGGAGCGGCGTCTCCATCGCTCCTCCGGGTCCAAAAGATGCAGTATTTAATCACAAAATAATCGCTTAACAGCCAACTGAGCTATCTTGGTTTAAATATCTTGAGTTACTTCTTTTTTTTTAACACGGACTGACATGGGTGGTCTGCCTCTCTCAAACCTTCTTTCCCCAGTGGTGAAAAATACTTCCTTTTCGAGCTGCCGGAAACCGCAAGGCTTTTAAGTCACTTAGGCTGCTGTTTTCACTCTCTTAGCCTGCAGCGCCACCAAGCGTTCTGCTTTACAACTTCAGATAATTTTCATTTCAAAGCACTCTGTTAATAGCTAAAACATAAGGCGTGCTGCATTTTTAGGCCCTCGCCTGTTATATACTCCCTCTTCCCCCGCCTATTAAGCAGTCTTGTTTGGGCAGCTAACAACAGTGGTGACAGCAAAATTACCGTCTCTGTCTATATTCATCTTCCTTATAAAGGTACAGGTTCAGTGTACGAAACTGCTCTGCTCAAGGCAAATTCATTTCTTCATTTAACAAGTATTTATCTCTGTGGGTATTCACCCAATTTCTTGAGATAATACAGTAAATAAAACACACAAAAAATCTTTGCTCTTAGGTTTATACTCTGTTACAAAAATACTAATTTGTTCTATTGTTTTAAAAGAAATTATGAATTTTTAACATCCAGTTTCTATTCCCAAATTGCAATGCATCTGTAACTCCTGAAAGAAAACAAAAATCTTATTTCTTGTCAGTCTCTGTCTACGTAGCCTTTGGAAATTATTTTCCTCCATAAATTAAGTTCATGCAATGCCCAGTGAAGCTGAGAGGAAATGGCCATTTGTTTTATTAAAAATCAGTATATGCTCAGAATTTAGACAATGTCTTTTCTACAAAAACATGAAGAAGACAATAAATTAAATGAAGTAAAAAAAAAAAATACTTTCTGGGGAAGGGTTTTGACCTGTCTGCTTCAGACAGGACGGATCCAGTGTACATACTCTGGAACTGTGCAGATGGGGATATTGAAAAACACCACTGCTCCAACTAAAGTCATGTGACTGGAGTGAGAATAGTGAAAAAAGCAAATCCCGCCAAAAAAGAAGAATGATATTTCAAGGAGGGGAGGGTAAATATCTGAGAATACAAAACAGTAACTGTCCCCTACACTCATTGAACCAGTTGGTAATCATCCATGCCAGTTCACTTATCTAGACACGAAACACACTTGAATATGGTTTAGTTAAGCCCAGTTCTATTTTAAGAATAGAAATAAAGCCAGGCGCGGTGGCTCACGCCTGTAATCCTAGCACTCTGGGAGGCTAAGGCGGGCGGATTGCTCGAGGTCAGGAGTTCGAAACCAGCCTGAGCAAGAGCAAGACCCCGTCTCTACTATAAATAGAAAGAAATTAATTGGCCAACTAATATATATAGAAAATTAGCCGGGCATGGTGGCCCATGCCTGTAGTCCCAGCTACTCGGGAGGCTGAGGCAGGAGGATTGCTTGAGCCCAGGAATTTGAGGTTGCTGTGAGCTAGGCTGACGCCATGGCACTCACTCTAGCCTGGGCAACAAGCGAGACTCTGTCTCAAAAAAAAAAAAAAAGAATAGAAATAAAATATTCAGTTAATTGTTACTTTAGTATAAATTGCCTGTCTTTGATAGAAAGTTGAAAAGAGGGATTTTTAATAAAATAGCACAAATATAACTGACACAAATAAGACCAAATATGAGCTAAACTGTGAAAGGAAATGGTTTTATGGTTAATAAAGCAAATGATGCTTATGCAGCACTAGAAGAGAAAATCTAACATTACCTAATAACCTGCCACAAATACCTTATTTAGATGTTGGCAGATGTCACATAGAGAAGCCTGGGAGAGTGAAAGGAGGAATTTGAAAAAAATAGTTGGATTTTACAAAACAATACCTTTCAGCTTTCAAATTGTTAGAGAAAGATGAGATAAAATGTGCTCTCAAGGATTTTATATTCTGTAATAGAGCATAGGGCCAGCAAAAGAGTGTTTTCTGTTTTGAAGAAAAGCAAAAGAGTGATTTAACTAAGCAGTGATATTTAGTAATTTCACCAAAGGGTATATTATTGTACAAAGGATATTAGCATTTCTTTAGTCATAGAAAATATATTTTTTTAAAAAATTGACTACTGGAATGTTTGTAACATTCAGCAAATATTTATTGAGCATTTATATTATAATTGGTTCAATGTTTTTAAAAACAGACCATCATGTACTTACATGAGGTTCACAAACTGTAATTTAATGTGTTGACACTTCACTAAAGTCTATATTCATAGAAAATATGTATTGACTATTATGGTATATTGAAATACACATAAGTATGAATGGATATCTTAGCATTTAGCCACCCTTAGTGTTTATCGTGTTACTCACTTAGGAGTTAGCCCAAAATGAGACTTACATTGGAAGATAAATAATAACAAATACTCACATTTTTATATTGTCCTACATAGAAATAGTGAAACAAGTGCCACTAATACCAGGAAAAACAATTTTACTTAAGTGCTTTGAAATATGTTTTTGTTAAAAGAATATGTAATTTAATTAAAAGTATTTTAATTATGCAAATAAAGTTTTACTTTTTACTCAGATTGTCAAATACAGTCCAGTGAAGTAATAAAAAACTACTAAGCATGAATAGAGAAAATACTGTGCATTGCTAGTATCTTTAAAAAGATTAAACCTAAAGAACAGAGGTAAATTAAGCAAGAAATAGACCATCAATAACATGCATCAATACCATGTAACTTTAAGTTAAAAGAGATTTCCGAACTTACTAAGTAGGGTTAGGATTATAGAATACTCCAGTACTTAACTGAATGGGAAGCTATTCCCAAAGGTGGAGCTTTCCTCCATTTCCCTCCCAGTTCCTTGAGAAGCGAAGTTGGGGATAATCGGCTTCAGAAACTTGAACTCGCTAGTCCCTGAACCTCCAGTCAGACACACCTCATACTGGTAGCTCTGGGACAGGGTCCCCGTGCCGCTGACATCCACCAGGTGGCCCGGAAAGCGGCCCTCAGGCACCGAGCAGCGACCCCCCGAGGCCGCCCGGTCCCTCCTGCACAGCCGCACCGCCACGAACAGCAGCACCGAGAACAGGAAGAGCGACGACACCGCGGCCAAGGCCACCACCAGGTAGACGGTGAGCGAGTCGGCCTGGGCCTGGGCCGGGGCCGCTTCCGGCGGCGGCAGGTAGGGCTGCGAGAAGCCGTCCACCAGCAGCACGTGCAGCGTGACGCTGGCAGACAGCGCGGGCTCGCCACTGTCCCTCACCAGCACCACCAGCCTGTGCCTGGCCGCGTCGCGCTCGCCCAGCGGCCTGGCGGTGCGCACCTCGCCGTTGTGCGGCCACACGCTGAACAGCCCGGGCTCCGTGGCCTTGAGCAGCTGGAACGACAGCCAGGCGTTCTGGCCCGAGTCGCCGTCCACCGCCACCACCTTGCTCACCAGGTAGCCGGCCTCTGCCGCCCTGGGCAGCAGCTCGGTGCAGGGCGCCGAGCCGTTCTGCGGCGGGTACAGCACGAAGGGCGGGTTGTCGTTGTCGTCCAGCACCGCCACGCGCACCAGCGCCTCGCTGCGCAGCGCGGGGGAGCCTCGGTCTGCGGCGCCCACGCGGAACTCGAACGCCCGCAGGGCCTCGAAGTCCAGCGACCTCAGGGCGAACAGCTGCCCGTTGTCCGCGTTGATGGAGACCAGCGAGGCGAGCGGCAGGTGCGGGTCGCGGGGCGGCAGCAGCGAGTAGGTGACCTGGGCGTTGGAGCCCGAGTCTCTGTCTGTGGCGCTGACGCTGCCGATGTGCAGGGCGGGGCTGTTGTTCTCGGGGACGAACAGGGTGTAGGAGCGTTGGGAGAAGGCGGGGGCGTTGTCGTTGACGTCGGAGACCAGCACCGTTATGCTGTGTTGGGTTTTCAGTCTAGGTGTCCCCAAGTCGGTGACGGTGATGGTGATGTTGTACTCAGCTCGGCTCTCTCTGTCCAGCGCTCCTTCTGTTTCCAGAGTGTAAAAATTGTCCACGGAAGGTCTTAGAATAAAGGGGAGATTGTTCTCTATAGAACAAATCACCTGTTGGTTATGTCCAGAATCTGCATCTGAAACACTGAAAACTGCCACTATGATCTCTGGCAAGTTTTCAGGGATGGGGCTGATGAGCGACGACATGGTCAGTTCAGGGGCGTTGTCATTCACGTCCAGGACCTTCAGGACTACAGAGCATTTTCCTGTTAGGCCCCCACCATCTGTGGCCTCAATATCCACGTGATAAGACTGAAATTCCTCGTAATCCAAAGCCTTTCTCAGTCGAATTTCTCCTGTGATTGTGTTTATTTCGAAGGGTTGGTTGACGTCATCGACTTGAAATAGGGCATAGGAAACCTCCCCAAAGGATCCCGCGTCTAAGTCTCTGGCTGAGACCGCAATAACCAGAGAGCCGAGGGGGCTGTTCTCAGGGACTTGCGCCTCGTAGAGTTCCTGAGCAAACTCAGGGGCGTTGTCATTGATGTCCAAAACCTGGATCTGAATCTCCGAGGTTCCTGACCTGGGCGGAGACCCGCCATCCAGCGCGGTGAGCGTTAGCCTGAGCCGAGGCTGCTCCTCGCGGTCCAAAGCCGCGTCCAGCACCAGCTCCGGGGACTTCCTGCCGTCGCTGCGGTCGCGAGTGAGAACGTGGAAGTGAGGATTGGAGCTGATTCTGTAGCTCTGAAGGCTGTTGCTGCCAACGTCTAAATCGTTTGCCATTTTTAAGGGAAATGTCTTTCCTGGCGCAGTAACTTCCGATATTCTCAGGGTCATCTCTCTAGAAGGGAACTCTGGGGCGTGGTCATTTATATCTCTGACTCGCAAGGCAGCCTGAAAAAACTGCAAAGGCTTCTCCAGCAGCACTTGGAAAGGAAGCACACACGGCTCCGCGGGGCCGCACAGCTCCTCCCGGTCCAGCTTTTCGTTTAGCAGCAAATCGTGGGTCTGTGGGTCAAGCCGCAAGTGCTGTCTGTTCCCCTTGAAAACCACCCGGGCGCCCCGTGCGGCCAGCTCTCCCACCCCAAGTCCCAGGTCCTTTGTCAAGTTGGCTACAAACGTGCCACTTTCTGTCTCCTCCAGCACTGAATACTGAATCGATTCTGAACCCACCTCCCGCAAAAGCATCAATAAAATGAAGATGGCCACTTGCCTTCCCGCGCGCTGTTCTTTTGTATGCACCATCTCTATTGTTCGGACTGATTCCATAGGAGAAAATCCTCTTCAGCTCCCAATCACCACATCCGGAGACGACCCTCCGAAATGTTTTTGCTATAGACTTTTAAATTTGTTCTTTCAACTTGTCTGGGGACGACTGCCTTCCCGGACACGTCTGTCTTAGCTTTAGCTCTAAATGTGTTCTGTATTTTTACCTGGCTTCTGGGTAAAATGGAGTCCCCCGAATCCGCAGAGCTTTTACTCGCTCTCTTAGCCTGCACCGCCACCACGCGTCCAAATCAATAACTTCATGAGGAGTTTTCACAGTGATGCCATTTAAGAAATCTGAGCATCATAAAGACTTTTGGGTCGAGTCAGTGTTTCTCAAACTCAGTGTGTGAACCACATACATAAAGAATGGCTTGGGAATATTGGGTTTTTGCACTTTTTAAAGCCAATTCCCGGCTCCCCTCCACATCTTGAATCAAATTCTCTGGTGGTGCTAAATAAGGAGAAAGATTGAAGTATACTATCTTTCTCCTTAAGTGATTCTCATGCATAGCAACATTTAAGCATCACTACTTCAGGTAATGTAGAAAACTTCCTACAATCAACTTTGATTTGGCAGTGCATTTTATCTCTGATGACGAGTGTAATTTGCAAGTCCAAGAGGTACACTATTTAATTGTCTCAACGAACAGATCAACACACTATACAAAATGTAGACGCTTGTTAGCAACATTAATAGTAAAATAAAAAACCAATTCTCTATAAGTAGCATGAAAAACAAAGTTACTTTGTTAAGTGGCTATGCCAAGATAGTAAAAAAGAACAATTAGGCTATTAGGAGGAAAATTGAGACCAAGAAGTACTTATGATAGAAAGACCTAAGCAAGTGAAATTATTTAAAAGAGGCACCAGGAACAATCAAATCATTGTCTTAAGCATTTTAGGACCCTACTTCATTTTTGTATGGATAGAGTTGGATGTGGTTTTAAGAGGCTTTTGAAATTTATTCCTTTTTTTGCCAAATTCATTCCTTACATTAATTAATTAATCAAGGTCCAAATATATTACCCTGTTGTAAGAATATGATGCAGTGCAGAAAACAAGCATTCAAGAATTACCTCCACCACCCTCTCACAGCAAGGACACTAGTTCCTACAAATAGAGGCCAAAAAAGGTGAACTACATTTGAGTGAATACCATGGAATTAATGATGGAATATCATGACTATATTTATTCCTATTTCACCAGTTTCTGCCCAGATAAATTGGAAAATGTGGCTCTAAATATCCTGAAAATGTATGGAATAGGTCAGTGCACCTACAAGAATACAAAATATGCCAAACACAATTCATTTCAGATTGATTTCTTATTTATTGAGAGGTAATTAGGTCATAAGGGAGTGGCCCTGCTGAATAGGATTAGTGCCTTTATAAAAGGGACCCCAGGGAGCTTTTTTGCCCTCTTTCTGCCATGGGATGATACAACAGGTCAGCAGTCTGCAACCTAGAAAAGAGCCTTCACCAGGACCTAATCATGCTGGCACCCTGATTTCAGACTTCTAGCCCCCAGCACTTTGAGAAATAAATTTCTGTTTTTTATAAACTACCTGGTCTATGGGACTTTGTTACAGCAGCTTGAACTGATTAGGACAGTGGCCTTGTGCAAGTTTCTGTACCGCTGTGTTCCAGTTTGTTCTTCTTGAAAATGAGGAATCAATGGAAGCATTATTTTGAGAATTAAATGAGATATGTATAAAATATTTAGAAAACAGCCAAGTACATAGAAAGAATATAGTAATAATAGGAGTCTATAATATATAATAATGTTTAATAACAAGAAAGTTCTTTGGGATTTAAATATGCCCCTAAAATAAAAAAAATATTAGAAATACTCAAAAATAAAGCAAAAGACTTAAGATTATAGAGGAAAAGCTAAAGAAACAAAAATAAAGGAGAAATATAAACAGAGACATAATTGAGAATATTCAATATCTGATCAGCACAAGTCCCAGAAAGAAATAACAAGGTAAAATTAGGGATACAATTATTAAGAAAATAATAGTTGAGATGAAATAATCACATAGATGAAAAGGTATGAATTGTTAGAATGCATAAGTACATCAAATGTCCAGCAAATGAATGAAGAAGATTATGAGACTATTATAAAATTCAAGTTACCTAAAAGGAAGAAAAAATTCTAAGACTGAGAGGAAAAGAGGGAGACAGATACGTGCATACACATACACATATGTGTGTGTGTATATATATATATATAGAGAGAGAGAAAACAGAAAAGATCAAGAAGAAAATAGGCATAAGATTTCTTATGAAAAATTGTGAATCAATACATTAATGATTTTCAATTTCCAAGCAAGAACTTTATATCTGGCCAAATCATCAATCAACTATAAAGGAAGATTAAATGAATTTTCACACTTGCAGAGATATGGAAAGTTTCTTTTTTCTGAACTCTCTTTTAGGAAGCCACTTCAGGACATACTGTGGCAAAGGGAAGGAATAAAAGTAAAAAAGAAAGAAGATAAGGGATCTATTAAACAATGGACTCAACCAGGAGAGGTATGAAGACAAGTTGACAGTTTTGTACAGACTTACAGATCATTGAGTCCACATGGAAGCAGAAAGACAGAGGGCTTTAGGTAGGAAATATGAGAAGCTGAATTATTGTTTGAGATTTTGAAAATATGGTAAAGCCTACTGAAAAAGTTTAAGATGATGAATCTTCTCTCTCTCTGGTTATCAGTTTTTAAAAAAGAAAAAATATATGTTAAATGATGAATCTATTTGATCTTGATCTTAGGAACATTCTATTTTCAATGGCACAGGAAGCACAACATCAGATCCAAAGAACATACACATCATCCTTATCACTGAGTAATATGACTCTGCAATAAGCTGTATTTTGAGAAAGAGAGAATCAGTTCCTGAAAACCAGAAATTCTCCTGTCACTCACATGTAGGCCATGATCTTCTTCTGTTGAGCAAAAACAATACTTAGAGTACTAACATCAGAAAAGACCATTATGACTTGATGGAGCAAGACCAAAATAAAATTACTTCATGCTTGAGCAGATACAAAAACATTGTCCAAACAACAAATATCAGAAAAGACAAAGCAAAACAAAATAAAACAAAAAAGATTCCTTTGTTAATATGAATGAATGCTGCTTCTTTACCAATTATGGCTTTAATTTCATTTTATTCTTCCCACCTCCTAAATAAAATTCATTAAGATACCCAATCATAGAACTATCCTCATTTTCTGAAAGCATCCAATCCAGAACTAGCCCATACTTTTTTGAACCCTCCCCAAAATCACTTAACACAAGCGCAAATTCTGTAACACCTTTGTAAGATAAACCCAATTTTGTTATGGCACGGTGTGTTCTTGGTGATTTTTGGCTACAGGGCATTCATTATTTTTCTTTAAAAGAAAAATGTTGATATTTATTTTCAGGTTCTGAAATATCTATAGACAAGGAATTTTTAGCTATGGTTATAAAGAAGATGTAAAGCTATGGTTGTAAAGACATAAAATGTAAAAGTAGATATTCAACTGAGAGAGGTTGGAAAGTATAAGAGAAAAATAGATATAAGAGGGAGAAAAAGAATGCTATTCCTTTTTTCATACAAAAAATCAAATGAGGCCGGGCGTGGTGGCTCACGCCTGTAATCCTAGCACTCTGGGAGGCTGAGGCGGGCGGATTGCTTGAGGTCGGGAGTTCGAAACCAGCCTGAGCGAGACCCCGTCTCTACTAAAAATAGAAAGAAATTAATTGACCAACTAAAGTATATATACAAAAAAATTAGCCGGGCATGGTGGAGCATGCCTGTAGTCCCAGCTACTTGGGAGGCTGAGGCAGGAGGATCGCTTGAGCCCAGGAGTTTGAGGTTGCTGTGAGCTAGGCTGACGCCATGGCACTCACTCTAGCCTGGGCAACAAAAGTGAGACTCTGTCTCAAAAAAAAAAAAAAAATCAAATGAAACTGTAATTAATGGAACAATTAATGAAGCTTTCAGTTTTACCAGAGAAGCACCTGAAAATAGCGCTATAGCTGTATGTGAAATATGGATGATTGAAGTTGTTTTAAATGTGCTAGGTACTCAGCAATTATAACAGGAAATTAATTCTCTAAAGTTTATGAAAAAGTCACTGTATTAGTTTTCTAGGGATGCCATTATAAATACCATAGACTGGGTGGCTTAAACAACAGAAATTTGTTTCCTCACAGTTCTGGAGGCAACAAGTCCAAGATGAAGGTGTTGGCAGGATTGGCTTCATTTGGAGGATCCTCTCCTTGGTTTATACATGGCCATCTTCTTCCAGCGTCTTCACATGATCTCCCATCTGTGGGTGCACATGTCTGGTATCTCTCTGCATTCTAACCTCCTCATCTCATAAGGACACCAGTCATACTGAATTAAGGCCTGCCCTGATGACCCATTTTCATGTGATCACCTCTTTAAAGGGCCTATCTGTAAATACAGTCACATTCTGCGGTAATGGGGGTTAGGGCTTCAACACATGAATTTGAGGGGTAGAGAAGTGAGACACAGTTCAGCCCCTAACAGTTACAAACAGATTCCTTGGTGATAAGAAAGTAAATATATGGCCAGGCGTGATGGCTCATGCCTATAATCCTAGCACTCTGGGAGGCCAAGGAAGGAGGATCAATTGAAGTCCAGAGTTCAAGACCAACCTGAGCAAGAGTGAGACTCTGACCCTGTCTCTATTAAAAATAGAAAAAAATTAGCTGGGCACATGCCTGTGGTCCCAGCTACCGGGAAGGCTGAGGCAGGAGGATCACTTGAACTCAGGAGTTTGAGGTTGCTCTGAGCTAGACCAACACCACAGCACTTTAGCCTGGGCAACAGAGTGAGATACTGTCTCAAAAAAAAAAAAAAAGACAGTAAATATAAGAAGAGCTACACAAAACGAAACAAAACAGGTTTAAAATTGCTTGCCGATGGATAAAATTAAAAAACAGACAATACCGGGTGCTGGCAAAAATTGGGGAAACTTGTACATCCAGATACTGGTGATAGCAGTTTAAAGCAGTATAACTGCTTTGGAAGACTACTGAGAAATGTCTACTAAAAGTGAACTTGTACTTAGTAAATAAGGAGTGATTACACTTCTACGTATATACCCAACAAAACTGCATATACAGATTTGCCAAAAGACGCATACAATATCATACAGGAAATCATGAAAAAAGGTACATACAATAATGTTCATAGCAGTATTATTTGTAACAACCAAACTTTGCCCCAACCAAAACATCCATCTAAAGATGGATAATAAACTGTGGCATATTTATACAGTCAAATATAATAGCAATGAGTATGAAAGGACTAAACTTAAAAGGAGTATTATGTTTTAAAAAATTAGCCAGGTGTACTGCTTTTCTGTAGTCCCAGCTACTTGGGAGGCTGAGGCTGGAGGATTGCTTGAGCCTAGGAGTTTGAGGTTACAGTGAGTTATGATCACGCCACCATACTCCAGCCTGAACGACAGAGAGAGTCCCTCTCAAAAAAAAAAAAAAGTTTACCAATAAGAATCAGGGCTGGAAAAAAAGAGTAGATAGAAGAGTGCTGCATTTTACCTGTCTTCTCACGTTTTTCATAGTATCATAGGTGCACATTCCTTCAAAACAATTAAAATAAAGAAAGTGATGTAAAACATTTTTATTTTCATAAGTTAGCATCAAATACACTGAGAGTCTGATGAAACAGAATGGGTAGAATACATAGAAAATAAAATGAATATTTTATTTTATTAAGACAGTTCATCAAAACAAACACAACAAAAAGTTAAAATCTCGGGAAAATCAACGGCATGCATGGATTCAGAAGGGCTCTATGCAAATGAACACAATGAAGTAAAACTGAAATTTCCAAAACTGGATAACACAAAGTTCCATAGACAAATCCATTAAAAAGGGAAATCGTAGCTAAATCTGAAGGTGAACGTTGTCTCCATGACACTCTCAGATTCTATATCTGGGTAAGTTGGGGGTCAATGGCAGAAAACTTGGCATCATAATCCCATCTCTAATCGACCCCGAAGCTATTTCCAAAGGTAGCAGCTTTCCCCATTTCTTCACCAGAGCCCTGGGGCCAGAGGTTGGGGATAATTGGCTTCAGGAATTTAAACTCACCAGTCCCAGAGTCTCCCGTCAGACACACCTCATACTGGTAGCTCTGGGACAGGGTCCCCGCGCCGCTGACATCCACCAGGTGACCCGGAAAGCGGCCCTCAGGCACCGAGCAGCGACCCCCCGAGGCCGCCCGGTCCCTCCTGCACAGCCGCACCGCCACGAACAGCAGCACCGAGAACAGGAAGAGCGACGACACCGCGGCCAAGGCCACCACCAGGTAGACGGTGAGCGAGTCGGCCTGGGCCTGGGCCGGGGCCGCTTCCGGCGGCGGCAGGTAGGGCTGCGAGAAGCCGTCCACCAGCAGCACGTGCAGCGTGACGCTGGCAGACAGCGCGGGCTCGCCACTGTCCCTCACCAGCACCACCAGCCTGTGCCTGGCCGCGTCGCGCTCGCCCAGCGGCCTGGCGGTGCGCACCTCGCCATTGTGCGGCCACACGCTGAACAGCCCGGGCTCCGTGGCCTTGAGCAGCTGGAACGACAGCCAGGCGTTCTGGCCCGAGTCGCCGTCCACCGCCACCACCTTGCTCACCAGGTAGCCGGCCTCTGCCGCCCTGGGCAGCAGCTCGGTGCAGGGCGCCGAGCCGTTCTGCGGCGGGTACAGCACGAAGGGCGGGTTGTCGTTGTCGTCCAGCACCGCCACGCGCACCAGCGCCTCGCTGCGCAGCGCGGGGGAGCCTCGGTCTGAGGCGCCCACGCGGAACTCGAACGCCCGCAGGGCCTCGAAGTCCAGCGACCTCAGGGCGAACAGCTGCCCGTTGTCCGCGTTGATGGAGACCAGCGAGGCGAGCGGCAGGTGCGGGTCGCGGGGCGGCAGCAGCGAGTAGGTGACCTGGGCGTTGGCGCCCGAGTCTCTGTCTGTGGCGCTGACGCTGCCGATGTGCAGGGCGGGGCTGTTGTTCTCGGGGACGAACAGGGTGTAGGAGCTTTGGGAGAAGGCGGGGGCGTTGTCGTTGACGTCGGAGACCTGCACGGTTATGGTGTGCTCCGTCTTCAGCCTGGGAGTCCCCAGGTCAGTGACCGTGATGGTGATGTTGTACTCGGCTCGGCTCTCTCTGTCCAGTGGCCTCTGTGTCACTAGGGTATAAAAGTTCTTGAATGTGGGTTTCAAGAGGAAAGGGAGATCGTCGTCGATTGAGCAAACCATTTTTCCATTGTCCCCAGAATCTGGATCGGAAACACTGAAAACAGCGACTACGGTCTCCGGGGAGTTTTCTGGAGTGGAGCTGGTGCGCGTGGACATGGTCAGTTCGGGGGCGTTGTCATTCACGTCCAGGACCTCGATAGCTACAGTGCATTTTCCTGAAAGTCCTCCGCCGTCTGTGGCTACAATTTCCACGTTATAATATCGAGTTGCCTCGAAATCCAACGCCCTTTTCAGACGAATTTCTCCTGTTGTTTCGTCTATTACGAATGGCTGAGTCACCTCATTGCCTTGGACTAGCGCATAGGCTACGGTCCCATAGGCTCCTGCGTCCAGATCCCGGGCGGAGACAGCCAGGACTAAGGAGTGAAGGGGACTGTTCTCAGGGACCTGCACCTCATAGAGCGACTGCGAAAACTCAGGGGCATTGTCATTATTGTCCAAGACGACAACGAGTACCGTGATCGTCCCGGACCTGGGCGGGGCCCCCCCATCCAGCGCCGTGAGGGTTAAACTGAGCTCAGGCTGCCCCTCTCGGTCCAGCGCTCGGTCCAACACCAGCTCTGGGTATTTGCTGCCATCTCCACGGTTATGAGTAACGACATGAAAGTGGGAGTTGGGGCTAATTGTGTAGTTCTGAACAGTGTTGCTACCTACGTCGAAGTCCTGAGCTATTTTCAAAGGAAACACAGTCCCTGGCTGGACACTCTCTGAGATTTTTAGGAGCATTTCCCTCTCTAGGAACTCCGGGGAATGGTCATTTATATCTCTGAGCTGCAAATCAACTTGAAAAAACTGCACGGGGTTTTCCAGTAATAGTTGGAAATGCAATACACAGGGTTCTGTCGCCCCGCACAGCACCTCCCGGTCTAGCTTTTCATACAGAAGCAAATTGCCGGTCTTTATATCGAGATGCAGGAGCTGCTTGTTTCCTTTGTAATGGATTTGCGCGCCCCGGGTCGCCAATTCCCCCACCCCAAGCCCCAGGTCTTTTGCCAGGTTGGCCACAAAGTAGCCCCTTTCTGTTTCTTCTGGTATGGAATACCCAATGGCCTCAGAGCCAGCCTCCCACAAAAGCAACAGTAGAGCAAGAAAGGTGACTTGCCTTTTCCGTGGCGTTTTTGCTAGCGCAGTCTCCATTGCTCAGACCTGGTCCAAAAGGTGCAGTTTCTTCGGCTCGGTATACAATCCAACTCAGATGATTTGGTTAAATAGCCTCAAATTCGATCTTTCTCACTGATTTGCATCAGAACCATGCCTTCTCTGAAGATCTCTCCTCTAGATCTTACTTAAAATGCTTCCTTCTTTTAAGGTAGCATTGAGAGTTCAGATTCCCAGCTTAATGGCGTCTGGGTTATATAGGCAGAGCCCATTATTCACACTCTTAGCCTGCAGCGCCACCAGGCGTCCTTATTTACTATTGCACATAGTATTTGCCATTTCATTCCAATTCTAACCCTGATGCGTGCCTCAAACCCTTTGGAGTCATAGAAGTGCTCTCAATTGTATCTCCAGCTCTTAGCTTTTGGCAGTTCTAAATAAACGTTTACTGAGTTAATTTTCAGTGTAAGAAGAATACTTTTGAGAACAAACTAAAGTGATATCTTAGTCTTCTCCTTAAAAGTACTTTTTGAGTACATGGAGGAACTTTCTTTAGTGGCTGTCTTACTTGATTACATTCAAGAAATAAGTAATAATGGATATCTACAAAATCTAAAATTTAACAAAAATTACTTTTAATTTGAAGTATAACATCCAGACAAGGGCACAAATCATATGTGTACAGCCCAAAGAATTTTCACAAAATAAACACTCCCATAAGCAGAACCTAGATTAAAAATAAAATACTATCAAAACCCAAGAAATCTTCCCTGCCATTGTTTGGTTATTACCCTCTCCTCAAGAAATAAGCACTAGCCCGACTTCTATTGCTATAGAGGGGTTTTTCTCCCCTTTTCTTGAACTCTTATACATATTTATGTATTTTACTCTTATACACAATTATAAATTATTTCTCTCTTTTGTCTGAATTCTTTCACTCAATATTATGTTTGTAAAATTGACCTGTGGGCCCGGCGCGGTGGCTCACGCCTGTAATCCTAGCACCCTAGGAGGCTGAGGCAGGCGGATTGCTCGAGGTCAGGAGTTCGAAACCAGCCTGAGCAAGAGTGAGACCCTGTCTTTACTAGAGATACAAAGAAATTAATTGGCCAACTAACATATATAGAAAAAATTAGCCGAGCATGGTGGGGCATGCCTGTAGTACCAGCTACTCAGGAGGCTGAGGCAGCAGGATTGCCTGAGCCCAGGAGTTTGAGGTTGCTGTGAGCTAGGCTGACGCCATGGCACTCACTCTAGCCTGGGCAACAAAGCAAGACTCTGTCTCAAATAAAATAAAATAAAATAAAATAAAATAAAATAAAATAAAATAAAATAAAATAGACCTGTGGCATGTTGTTCTAATTTGTTTTATTTGCTTTCCTTTATATTATTTTGTTGTGTGAATATACCATGATTTATTTATCCATTCTCCAGTTGATAAACGTTAAGTTTTCTCCAGTTTTGAGCTATTTTGAGTAGTACTGCTATGAAGAACCTTGTATATGTCTTTTGGTGACCATATGTATGTATTTATGTTTAATATAGTCATAGGAGTTGGGTTTCTGTGCATTAAGGTATGCACATATATTTAGCATGAGCAGATATGGTGACACATTTTCCAAAAATAATTGTACTAATAACGCAAAATATAAAAGTTCCAGTTGCTCCATATCCTTGTCAGTATTTCATGTTGTTATTATGGTGGTTATCCAAGAAATTATAGCATACATCTTTGATGTACAAGAATCTAATACAAATTATTAATTTTACTACTGCCATAATAATGCTTAAAACCTTAGAACTCTTGAACTCTATTTATACCTGTCTTTTACACTATTGTTATAAATTTAAATTTTACATATAATTTCAATCCATTAAGAAATTATGAGTGTTGCTTTTTATAATCAATATTCAATCGACATTCACGTATATTTACCCTTCTTGTTGCTGTTCTTTTCTTTCTGCAATTCTGTGATTTCTTTTGGACTGTTTTCCTTTTGCCTAATAAATTTCACTAAAAGTATTTCTTTTAGTGCACAGGTAACTGTGGTTAATTCTCTCTGCTTCTGACTGAAAACTTCATTCATTATTAGAGTATGTATTTGCTGGTAATAGAATTGTAGTGTAGTAGTAATTTTCTTTCAGGACTTTAAAGAGATATTCCTTTGTCTTTTGGTTTCATGACTTCTGGTGAAAAGTCAACTCTTCATATTACTGATACTCCTTTAAAAGTAAGTGTCATTTTTTTAATGTGGTTCCTTGTAAGATTTTGTCTTTGACTTTGGTCTTGAGCAATTTTCATATGATATACCTAGGTGTGCTTTTTTATTTATCCAGATTGAGTTTCACTGAGTATCTTGAAAGGTTAGGGATTTTCACCAATTTTGGAATATTTGTGGTCATTATCTCTTCAAATATTATTTATTCCTCTTTCTTATTCTCTCTTTTCCTTCTAGGATTACAGTAGTATGTATGTTAGGGTTTTTTAAATGTCCCACATGTCACTAATGTTATTTTCTGTATTTTTCATTTTTTTTTACTCTGTGCTTCTATTTGGATGTTTATATTGCCCTGTCTTGCTTCCACTAATCTTGTGTTCCTTTATGTCTATGACATTAAACAATTTTAAGTGTTTTTAATTTTAGATATTATACCTTTTTAGTTCTAGAATTAATTTCCACTTTTAAATTTCAATTCTCTAGTGAAATTATCTTTCTCTATTTTCCCCATTGTTCTTTATTTTTACATATTAGTCATAATTATTTTAACATCATTGTCAGTTAATTCTAATATCTGGCTCATCTGTGGGTCATCTGTGTTATCTGTTTTTTCTCTTGGTTTTCTTCATGTCATCCAGTTGTTGGTGTGTGTGGCTATTGAATGCTGAATATGCAAAAAGCTGTCCAGGATCAAGATATTATCTTCCTCCTGAAAGTGTTCACCTTTTCCTCTGTTAGCTTAATAGAGTCCTGCCTAATCAAATCACCTTAATCCAAACAGGCACTGTGCTTAGTCTAGGCTCTTTGCAGTCCTGGTAAGCACCTGGCCCTCCAGAACTTCACCTGAGAACTTTGATATTTCTCCACAGCCCCTTGTTTGTTCTCAGACTTAGCAAATTTTCTTTGAGTAAAACTGACTGTAGGAGTCAGTTCTCATCTTCCTAAGATTTTTTTCCTCTCAGGAGTATTCCTTCTCAGTAATCTTAACCTATTCAGTTCTTATCATATCATATGCTTTTTATTACTTCAAGCAGATAGTTTTTAAATTGTAATCCATTTTTATGGCTGTTTTCAGCTGCTAGGTAATCCATCTAACCTGGGAGCATAATTCCTCCAAATATAAACACAACTTTTAACCTAACACTATTCAAAATACATTTTGTAGCTTTGATAGTAAAGGAAGAGGGGTTTTAAAGCAATATGTGCTACATTGCCTTCAGTAGATTTCTTCCCCCAAAACAGCTTGTATTAAAACTCACTATGTGCTGTGTCTAAAAACAATAGCAAAGGAATTGTAAAAGATGCACATACAATAGATGAATTTGAGAAAATGCCTGTTGAAATGGTTGTTGTTATTACCAAGATATTTGGCCTCTATTTTTGTCTTGTAACAACAGAACTGGCCTATTTTCATAAGGTATTGATGCTGTGAAAGTTATTTAGATCATGTTTACTACTAAATTCTAATAATTGAATTTTAAAATGTTGATCTATTCTACATGAGTTTGATGGTGGTAGTCCTAGCTGGTAAGGAATGGCCCATGCTTTATGAATACATACAATGATGATGTGGATTCTGGGTATTTATTTGGCCAGTTTCATTTGGGTGATTATACAAATTAGACTTTCAAGTCTGTACAAATTAGATTTTCCTTGCATAAACAATAAAAGAAAATTTGGATTTTTATGATATTGAAATATAGAGCCAAAAACTTTTACCAGATTTTTTTACTTGTCATTTAATACATAAAAGCTATCTCTTTTCTTTTCTTTTTTTTTTTTTTGAGACAGAGCCTTGCTTTGTTGCCCAGGCTAGAGTGAGTGCCCTAGTGTCAGCCTACCTCACAGCAACCTCAAACTCCTGGGCTCAAGCAATCCTTCTGCCTCAGCCTCCCAAGTAGCTGGGACTACAGGCATGTGCCACCATGCCCGGCTAATTTTTTCTGTATATATTAGTTGGCCAAGTAATTTCTTTCTATTTATAGTAGAGACAGGTCTCACTCTTGCTCAGGCTGGTTTCGAACTCCTGACCTTGAGCAATCCGCCCGCCTCGGCCTCCCAGAGTGCTAGGGTTACAGGTGTGAGCCACCGCGCCAGCCAAAGCTATTTCAATTAAATAGCTAATAATAAATGGAGAAATCATGAAAGCTGACTACTATATTAATGTCTTATATATTTGTGTTTAACTCTGTTCTCACTTTTATCTCTTCCTCACTTCAATTTTTATATTGAATGAAGGAGGCTACAAGGTATGTGTCAAGAGTAACTTAAACAGTCAGTAATTTTCCTTTTTTATTTCATTATATCCTTAGAAAAAAAGAGTAATTCAGGGAAAAGTGAAAGTACTTAAACTCCAGTAGAATTATAGATGATATTTAAAAATTAATGTTAGGTTATAAAGCAAGCTCTTCAATTGCTCAAATTCTGCTAAAAGGTAAATCGAATTGTCTTATATCCATATAACGTTAACTAGCTTACTTGGCTTATTGAACACAAAATAAAACAATTATAATTGAGATAAATTCATTACTGTTCCAGTCTATTCAGGACCAAAATAATACTTGTTTCACACAAATCCAACTTTGGCATAATTTAAAAACTAAATTAACTCAAAATAACTGAAGGTTACATTAAAGAAGAAAACAGAAGATAATTAAACATCAAAAAGAAATCATTATTTCTTTTTGTACAGACTGTCCACATCTGCAAAGTAATGTAAGATAAAAAAAATTAAGATCAACTGATAATCAGACATAAACAGAAGAGCCAAGATTCAGAAGAAATTTCCTGACTCTTTGGAAAGATGGGGAGAAGCTGCAGGAAAACCAAACGAAATACACATATTAAACTGCACTTGGATTTCTATTTATAAAGCAAAAGGAAGGACAAGGAGACCTGTGATGGTCTTGAGAGTCCTGAATTTTTCAGAGGCTTATTTCAGTTCCAAGGTTTTTTTTTTAAATGATAATATCAAGCTGTGATTGAACAGTTTAGCAAAAGGTACGGCAAGTTATATGAGATTTTTCTCTTTAATTCTTATTTATAAATGAGAATGTTTAAAATTTTTTAAATATCAGTATTTATGAAACACAATGTGCTAGGTAAATAGCAAGCAAATAAAATAATCTCTAGCATATATGGTTCTCACAACAGGAAAAGGGTTGGAACTTTATTGTATTAGTATTTTAATGAAGCGTATGTTTATATATAATTTGAAAAAAACAAGCATGCTAAGTTTTATGCTCATGGCTATTAAAGGGGCTTAACCTGGTAATAGTCAACAGGAAAGGCCAAAGTAACTATAAAAAATTTCAGTTTGGCCTTGCAAAGATTAAATTATATGGTAAAGACAAGCACCACAAATACATAGAGTTTCAAGCTTTCATAAATGCGTTAAAGCATTTCATTAAGAAGACATTAACTTAAGAAATTCATTAAAATAACATTTCTTTTTTATATTAATTGAGTAATTTATAGTTATGGAAACAATCACCAAGAGAAGATCAAATAGAAAAATATGTATTCAACATCTAGTATCATTTAAAATGCTAAGTGTAATTAATACCAATAAAAGGGAACAAATTCAGTGCTATTGGGGACCTGCCTATGTTTGGAATCATTGTATGAATATTTAGATAACAATACAATTTCTTAAAAGAAAGGCATTGCAATGGGAAGTTTCACAAAATTAATGAGAGTTTCGCTCAACTACATACAACACTTAACTGAACACAAAGCTATTCCTGCACTTGGGGTTTTGCTTAACATCTTCCCCAGTGTCCTGAACCAAGATG